AACCACAAGTTACCTCTGTACAGCAAGTGGGCATACCAGGGCTATACAACCTAGAAGAATGTTTGACCAAAAACAATTAAAAACAGGCCTGAGGGCTACAGGCCTGGGAGACACCCTTATCCTGCAGGCGTGGCCAATACATTTCAGTATTTTGCCATTCCAGCATGCCCAAACACTGGCAAACTCTGGGCCAGGGACCGCTAAATCATCTAGCAAGTCTGCTCTGGGGCCACCCACTTATTTTTATTTTGAATTAAGAGTTGTAAAACAATGATGTGTGGAGATTTTACTTTTAATTCAAATTGAGAGTGATAGTCTTATTTTCCTACAGCATAGTTGGCACATGATTCACACTACAGTATATTCCAAGGTAACAGATGTAACAGGAAAAAAAATCAACTGGGTCAGAAAATTATTTTTAAAGTATTATTTGTCCAAATCTGAGAAGGGATGTCCTTGCCATTGTTCCCTACTCCAGTGCCCAGCAACATCAACTGACCTGACTTTCTGCTGAAGCTGAAATACTGCTCCCCTCCCGAGCAGGGTCCATTTCCTAAACAACATGCCTCCAGAAACTCAATAAACATTGATAAATGATGATAGTTCTAGAAAGGACTCAGGCCTTTTGTTCATAGGGACTCAGGCCTTTTGTTCATAGGGTCGCTATGAGTTGTGCTCAACTCGATGGTAATCAACAGCAATAACAACCTGTCCCCGTATGGTGCTTTTTGTGGTCACAATCAGCACGATATATATCCCCACCTGGCTGGTAGCGAAAGGTAAGTGATCCTGAAAAGACCGAATGTACATTATGACCCTAGAAAGATTCCATCAGACTTTTCTATTCTCATTAACTTGTTTGGTTGAAGAGGGGGTGCAGTGAATTGCAATGGTCAGAACAATCTGCAAATAGAGTAAATTATCAACTGTAGCTCTTTTTCTAATCTAACAAATGTCTCCAGTGATAATTTTATTTTATTTAGTTGTTGTTACTGTCATGGAGTTGAGTCCAAGCCATAGTGACCTAAATAACAATAAATTTGAACCCTGTCCTATTATGACACCCATGAGCCCATTGTTATAGTAAATCCATTACTGCGTCAATCAACCTATTTGAAAGTCTTCCTCTCTACCTGCAACTAGGAGAAGATAAAGTAGATGAATGGAATCTTCTATGAATCAAATCCCTATGCACATCCAAAAACTTCTCCAATGGGGTAAAAAGGGAAGCCACAGACTGGGAAAAAGTATTTGGTAATGACATACCAGATAAGGGACTTATATCTAGAATTTATAAAATACTTGAGCACCACAACAAGATAAAGGCAAATAATCCAATAGAAAAATGGGCAGAGGATATGAACAGACACTTCACCGAAGAAGACATTCAGATGGCTAACAAGCATATGAAGAAATGTTCAAAATCCCTAGCTCTAAGAGAGATGCAAATTAAAACAACTATGAGATATCATCTCACCCCAGTCAGAATTGCAAAATTTAACAGAACAGCAAACAACAAATGCTGGCAAGGTTGTGGAGAAACTGGGACCCTTATTCACTGTTAGTGGGAGTGTAAAATGGTGCAACCACTGTGGAAGGTGGTATGGTACTTTCTCAAAAAGTTACAAATAGAGATACCATTTGACCCAGCAATTCCACTATTGGGAATATACCCTAAAGAGATCATAACTGACATCCAAGCAGATATATGCACACTCATGTTTATTGCAGCTTTGTTCACAATAGCAAGGAGTTGGAAACAACCTAAGCGCCCATCAAAAAAATGAATGGATAGAAAAGCTGTGGTATATTCACACAATGGACTACTATGCTGCATTGAAAAACAAGGAACTCATTCAATACTATTCAAAACGGGTGACTCTGGAAGACATTATACTGAGTGAAGTATGTCAGTCACAGAAGAACAAATACTGCATGGTGCCACTGTTGTAAAACAGGACTGACCTTGGGGTTGGGGAGAGACTAAGAAAGATGGGTTCAATAATGTATACTGCACGGAAACAGATGAGGGAGAAAACTGTTTAAAAGGGATATGTGATTAGGCATTTTTGTCACGACAGGAGTCTAGAGCAAAGGCTACATGGTGGAGTGGACCTGGGGGAGGGTTTGTAAAACAATGAAAGAATTTTTCTTTTACTTTTCCAAGAGGGTAGTGTACTAGAGGGAAGGGTTGGGAGAGGAGAAAAGTGCAACAATGAATGAATGGCAATCCCAAGTCTCTGTAAATTTTTAGTGCAATTAATAATAAAGTTTAAAAAAAGAAATTAAAAAAAGAGAAAGTCTTCCTCTCTTTTGACGTCCCTCCCCAATTCCAAGTATGATGTCTTTCTCCAAAGAATAATCTCTCCTAGCCCAAAAGTATGTGAGACAGTTTTATCATCTGGCTCCAAGGAACACTCTGGCTGGAACTTCTCCAAGATTTATTTGTTCTCAGTTTCTTTTCTTCAACACCACAACTCAATGACATTAGGTCTTCTATCATCCTCATTCATTGTTCAGTTTAATTTTCATTTCATTAAAATTAATTTGTTGTTGTTAGATGCCATGGAGTCTAGTGAGACTCATAGCAACTCTATGAACAAAAGATGTAAACCTTGTTGTATCCGGTGCCATCCTCACACTTCTTGACACACAAGAACCCATTGTGGCAGTCACCATGTCAGTCCACCTGGTTGAGATTCTTCCTCTCCTTCACTGACCCTCAACCCTTCCTAGCATCATGTCCTTCTTTAAGGAATAGCCTCTTCTAGCAACATGCTCAAAGTATGTGATTTGAATCCTGATCATTCTTTCCTCTGAAGTACACTTCAGCTATACCCTCTCCAAGCCAAATCTATTTGCTTTTTTTGCCATCCGTAGATGTTCAGTTCTCTTCTTCATCACCACCACTTAAAGGCATCAATTCATCTGTCATCCTTATTCATTTTCCAGCTCTCAGATGCATAGCAAGTGATCAGAAAGACTATAGCCTGAATCAGATACACCTTAGTCCTCAAACTGACATCATTACCCCTCAAGAATTTGGAAAGGACCCTAACTGCAGATTTTTCCCAGTGCAATGCATCTCCTTATTTCCCGACTATTGGTACAAAGGGTGTTAATTGTGGATCCAAGCCAGATGAAGTTGTTGACACTTTCAATCTTTCCCCCATATATCATAAAACTACTACCGGTGCAGTGGTAAGAATCTTTGTTTTCTTGAAAGTGAGATGCAATCCATACTGAAGGGAGCATTCCTTGATACTCTGCAACAAGTACTTCAAGCTTTCCTCACTTTCAGCAAGTAAGGTTATGTTACTTGCATAACGCAGGTTATTGATGAGTATCCCTCCAATCCTGATGCCACACTTCTCTTCGTAGAGTACAGTTTCTCAAATAATTTGCTCAGCATACAGATTAAATAGGTATAGAGAGAGACTACAACCCTGACACACTCCCTTTTTAATTTTAAAGCATGTAGTGTTCCCTTGCTCTGTTCACACTATAGCCTTCTGGTCCAGGTGTAGGTTCTGAATGAACACAAATAAGTGTTCTGGGACTCCCACTCTTTTCAGTGCCAGCTATAATTTGTCATGATCCACAGAGTAAAATGCCTTTGCATAGTTAAGAAAGCACAAATAAACATTTTTCTCATATTCTTTACTTTCAGCCATGATCCATCTGATATCAGTA